CGGTAACACAAACACCCTCTGTAGTATATTTCCTGTTATTTCCATTATGATAGGGAATATGAGTCATTTCATGGTTTATAGCTGACTTAGAACTGTGATTTGCTACAGTATCATGAACTTAAAAGTTAATGGTTTAGGATGGCAATTACACTAGCCAAATATTATTAACATGCTTCTAGTGTGGAAATAACTTCCCTTATCCAGAAATTACTTCCTGGCTAGAAAGCTGTTTAATAGAGGAATTTGGTGTAATAGGACGGAGTATCATCTATTAAAGGCAACAAGCAATTGAATGGGCAATGAGCTAAAATTTTGGAACATCTGTGAACTGTGCTATTTTATAAAATGTCAACAAATAAATTACCTTAAAAAAATGAAGCCTCACTAATGTTTTAATTCTTCATTTTAGGAATCTCACACCTAGTTATCTTTTTTGTTAGACTTGCCTTTTTACAAAGTTGTCTTTTTATATTGGAATTCATTTTTTTTCTCACATGTGTAAAACAAGTTCATCAATACATTCGAATTGATGAAGTCTATATACTTCAAGCCTACAAAGAATTTTCTGAGTTAAAAATAATTCTTTGATGAACTGACCATGACATACCTAAATCTTATGCTTTTTTATTTGCATGGAACAAAATTTATTAAGAAATAACATTATTAAGATTGTTTTATATCCAATCTAAAATACTGACAGAAAATCATTCAAACCATTAAAGTCGAGACAGTAAGTAGGAGTGATGATATATTTCATAGGAAAAGGACTCTTGTTTTATTCTGTATATTCAGAGCCTAGCAGAGAACTAAGCATCAGTAGACATTTAAGTAGTTATTGGATAAATGAATTTCAGTTCATTAAATTAGTGATATATCAGGTATAAGGAATTATAGAAATGGAGAATTAAGGGATGCTTACATAAAAATGATACTATGTAAAAACTTTCAAATCATGTTATATTAATAACATGTTAAAGTTTTCATATTAAATGACTTTTTGTTACTAAAACAATATCCATAATTTATATTTATCTATTTTGTCACCATTGTATGCAGAGAATAAAAGTAATACTTAATGTTCATCAAAATGAAAGTTAACAGGTAGTTTGATAAGCCTTAGGTTTATAAAGATAGTTGTGTGCTGAAAATACCAATCCTTGTCTAAGGTTTGAACTGGAAGCTTTCTCTCTAAAATTATCCTTTTCAGAATGCTGGTGCTATGTCGACACTTATTTGGCAAAGTTTTCTTTAAACTATTCTAGATAGTTAATAGAAGGAATTTGAATGACCAGGACAATAGATTTCATTGTATGGGCTTTCAACCCATTTTTAATTGTTTTTATTTAATCTTGGTCTAAATGTTAGCTGTTGGACTAGTATATAATTATTTTTACAAAATGCATAATCATGACTGCCAAATTTTCCATGACTAACTATACCCTGCCAGATGTGTTTTATGTTCTGCTGAGTCACATTTTTTTTTCCAGGACTCTGTGTTCCCACTCTTAATTCCCTTTGGTCTTTTTTCATATTTTTCCTTTTACCTGAATTTTAAGTAAAATGATTTCGTAGCAATTTTTACCATTTCATTTGCATAAAATAATTTTATATGAATTACCCTCAATTTTACCTGTTATCATAAGCTTAACCTATATGCCTTTCCAGGGGAGGTATACATTTTGTGCAATTTATTCTGAAAAGTCATTAAGCCTTTCTATGAAAGAAGAGCTCTCAACAGCCTCATCACATGGCTGAATCACTAGAGAATCCAGTCTTTTTAAAAAATGCTAACCAGTTCCAAAACTTCCACATTTGTTTTCTGCTCTTCAGCTACCTCTCTTCCTGATTAGATTTTCTGGCTGTAGCAAGGATCAGTAATCACTAGTTAGACAGCAAGAGCTTGGTGTCAGGTGATGCCTTACAAACCACAATGGATCTGTTTTGTTGTTGTTGTTGTTGTTGTTGTTGTTGTTTACTGATCTGAGCATCGTGGAACACTCGCTGCCTGGCCCCTAGACAGAAAAATTTCAGCGACAAATTTCAATTCCTGAATGCCAATGAAAATATTTGGCTGCATGCGTGGTTCCTAGAAGTATTCATTGATTCAAAATATATTCAAAAACAACAATTGTGCAAAGGGTTGAGAGATGTAAAGAAAAAAATCCATCTTTATTCCTCCAAGGAGCTCTAGTGGGGAAGACAGACAACAAACACACCGTTGAAATCAAGTAAAGCACTCAATAAAATATATCTGTGAAATTGTTGGAGAGTACTACAGAAATACAGAGGAAAGACTGCAACATCACCTCAGTCATCTTTAGACTCCTCATCAACCACATTTCATCACTGGTTATGCAAAGGCAATGCAACCACTTGTACATGTCTCCCTGCACGCATGTTTCAAGGAATAGCCATCCAGATATTTCTACTGGAGAACAGTGAGTTTCCCAAACTGCAAGTATGTTCTACACCAGCTGCAGAGAATTGTTGAGTGCCTATGAATGAATAATTAATCCAATAAGCCTGGGTTTGTGGCCCAATCTGACTTCCACGCATTTGGAAGTAGAAGAAAATATGGCTGTGGAAAGAAAGCTCCTGGGGTCAGAAACCAGATCTGCCCTGTGAAGTTAGGCAAGCCGGTTCACTCAGGTCAGATGGTCACAGGATCTTCATCTGTAAAATGATGTCTGTGGGGTCCCCTCCAGTGCTCTGACATTCTAACATCTAATCATAGAGGAACTGGTCAGGCCCGCCTGATTATCATTATAGTTTAGGAACTTTTCAAACTTCTCAGAATCTCCAAGACATATCCTATAGGAGGGAACTTTGGTAACTGCTAAGCTCGACTTTACTGAAAGGGGTAAAAAATTGTGTAACATTAGTGAAAATTTTTAACAATCGGTTTGTTCCTGTGCAATAAACATCAACAGTGAAATTGTAGAAGTGACTTTTAACGGTGCTGAGCAGCAGCTGATCCAGAAATCATCTGGCCACAGTCTGATCAACCAGAAAAAAAAATTGCCATGAGATGTTATTTAACATAGACAGTTTCTCCCTCTTCTTCTTGAAAACAGTAAAAATTTTCAGCCTTTTTTCAAATCTCAAAGAATGCTATTTTATATTTACTCAAAAATCTATGCAAACATCCAAGAAATTCCTCTATATTCTGCCTGATAATTTTAGTGAATGCGCAAAATAGATATTCATGTAATTTATCAAACTTTTAGGCACCTTTTGTGTCACAATCTAATGTAAACATATTTTCTTACTAAATTGCCTATCCTAATACTGCTTAAAGCACTTTATGATTTCAGGACAGTCAGTGGCTCCAAACAGAAGCTGTAGACAGAGCAACAATTCCTTGGGTTTTCTAAGGCACTTGATTGAAGTGTAACATTTTCTCCTAACTACCTTCAACTCTACAGTACAAAGAATCACAGTCCAGGTGAGGCCAAAGACCTGTTAGAGAAAATGACTCAGTCCAGAGACTGCAAAAAGAAGGACTGCATGGCTTACTTCTGCAAATATAAACTTTGTGGGGTTTAGAACTGGAAGAGAGCTCAAAGAGGAAACCAGCAAGTACAGTTTCTAGCTCCCAGGAAAGAGGGACTACAAGAACTGAACCCGGTTGTGTTACTTCAGTTCGGGCAAAGGGAGAAAATAAAACTTTTGCAAAGTTGTATTTCTTTTGAAATGAGTGCAATCCTATGGCTAAGCAGGCTATATGTAAATGTGTATAGAGGATGCACTAAAATGCAAGGCTGATATGGGGGCGTGGGGGGGAGGGCCGGGATCAGGAGAGGGAAAAAAGACTCCACTCTTCCCTAAAAACTCTCCAGTCTGTCTTGGATGCAACTACAGAGTAATCATTAACACATGATAGAAAGTGCTTTAACAATGTATACAATGGCACCCAGTAGAATAGAAGTGGACATTCTCTTGCCTGACCATTTTACAGGAAAGCCCTAAAGAAGAAGCCAGAAACGAACTCCAAAAAAAAAATAAATAAATAAAGAAAAGAAAAGAAATAAAAGAAAAAAGAAAGAAAACAAGGCTTAAGACTAGTGGCATGAAAATCTGATTATAATTTTTAATTTTTTGTTTCTCTGCACTTGAGCAGAACTAACTCAATCCCACATATGTCTTCTTCAATGTGAGAACAATTCTTTCTGGAACCACAGGACTACAGATGTCACGCTAGAACTCTCCCAGAGGCAAACTGCCAGGTTTGGGGCTGCTTTTCCTTGGTCGCTACCCGGGATTCGGCTGGGTTGTGCCGGGGCTAACTGACCTTCGCACCTGTGGGCAGACTCCTGCATTTGCACCACGTTTATAGTATGCGACCCACGCTAAGGTCCCTGTAGGGTAGGAAGACCAGGTATCATTGCCTTCGGGGTAGAAGACGAAACTGCAGCTGGGAGAGGGCAGTGCTCATCCTCACGCGGTTACTGGGCTGCAAATTCCGAAGCTCAACCCCACGTGAGCAAAGCGCTGGGGAGGTGACCTCCGCTGTCCAAGCGGAGCCGGGAGCGGGTACCTGCTATTAAACTTGGTAAATGTTGCTGCTCCACCGGCCGGGACAACATTATATCACCAAGTGGAAGGGAAGAATCCCTCTCCGCCACCTCGAGAACTCCTTCTAACAGAACTGCCGCTCACTCAGGCTGGGCCGCGGGGTCGCTGACCTAGGGATCCCGGGGGCCTAGGGGATGAAGGGACAGGGGACCTGGGGGTGAGGAGGTGCGGGAGGCCTGGTTCCCCTCGACACCTGGAGCGGCCAGCGACGGAGGAGCAGCTTGGTGCTCCGCGATGCAGTTGAATCACGGGTGAATCACCCCTTTCAGGGTCTCGGAGTTTCCTACGGGGAGGAGGCGGGGCAGGGGTGTGGACTCACCGGGGCCGCCCACAACGGCGGCGAGTGACCCGGCGGGGGCGGGGAGTCGGGAGGAGAGGCGGGGCTCGCGCTGGGGACCGCTGAGGCGCGGGTGTCCGCGCGGCCCTTTATAGCGCGCCCCGAGACTCGGTGCTCCCCCAGACGCGAGCTCCCGGCGCCCCGTCCCGCTCCCTCCTGCCGTCCTGGGGCGCCTTCAGCCCGACCGCTACAGCCTCCAGCGTGCAACGGCATTCTCCTGACTTCGCCGCCAGATCAGGGACATGGCGACCCCCACCTGGCCCTGGGTGCCCTACCCCGAAGCTGCTGTCTCTCGGACAATCCTCTTCGGCTGGGTCCTCGTTCAGTTGGCCGGAGCCTCAGGTGAGTGGCACCTGCCCCCTGAATCCATAGGGTACGCTGCCCTGAGGAGTGGGTACAGTCCTGGCTGCAGAGGTCTCGCCCTACTGTACGTAGGTGTCCCTGCGCGCCCACCGGACTTGGCGGCGCGCGCCCACAGCGTTTGAATGAACCGCGTCCCGGGGCGGGCAGGCGGGAATAGGTGTTTCTCGCCTGGGATCCTGCCTGCCCCTTCTATTAGACAATGCTTGCGCATTGTTGCTTAAGTGGATTTGTGGCTCCAGCTTTAAGTTTAGAAAAAGATCTTCCCAGTGACCTGGAAGGTGGTGGGACTTAGGTCCTCACCTGCACAGGTCGGCGTGCAAGGGTTGGATATTAACCTTAATTAAATGTGCACTTGCCTTAGTAAAGAGCAGTCCTCGGTCTTGTCTTGATCTTTTTTGGGGGGAGAGGGGGGATTGGGTTAAAGGCAATCCTAAATGTCACTTAGATTTGAGCAGTCACCACATTGTTCATGCCCCATATGCCTATTGTGTGCGGGGGCGGGAAGGGGAGCGGGGATGGGGGATGGCAAGGCAGGCGGAAATTGATCTACTTAGTACTGGCAAAGAGACCTTAATAATAAAGCATCTTAACCGATGTGCATCCGTTGGTGTGACAGACTGCACGTCTGCCTAGGTGTCTGTGGCACTTTCGATATAGAGACATGTTAGATATAAATGAAAGAAGTCAAGATTTGATTTTTCCATTTTATGCAACCCTAACTCTTCTCACACATGGGATTTGCCCTTTTCCATGATTTATGGAAGACCATATCCAGCCTCCCCTGATAGAGTTGAACCTTAGAGTCCCACACTTCCTCATCTGGGCCATGGCCATCCTGGGATACTGATGGCTCCTGGGCTGTGCTTCCAGATCAAATTATCACAGGATTTCCCCCATGAATAATTTCAAACAAGGATTTCAAGCTCCTTGCCTCTTTCCTTAGATTACAAGGAACATTTTGCTGTGAGAAAATTCTAGGTTTAGAAAAAATTTGAAGTTTTCCTTTCTCTTGATAATTCAATAGTGAAGCTTTTGTGATTGGAAAAAAAAAATAATGCGAGGTTTACGGTGATGTTGAGAAGGGGGCGGGAAAGTTTTTTATACCATCAACATGAAATCAGGTACTGAGAAGTTCATGTAATAATAGCTCTTTCTCTGTTATTTGAAGGCACTACAGGTGTCGTGGTAGCATATAATTTAACTTGGAAATCAACTAATTTCAAGACAATTTTGGAGTGGGAACCCAAACCCATCAATCATGGCTACACTGTTCAGATAAGGTAAGCTAGGCACAAAAAAGAAAAAAAGAAAAGAAAAATAATTTTTTAATGTTCCCACTTTCTTGTGCTGAATACAAATGTCTTTAGAGCTGATTACTGGATGAAACTATTTAATAGATGACAAAGAAAAGGGCGTTCATGGTAATTTGCTGACCAGAGCCATACTCTCTCAAGCCTGCATGCAACATTTCCCAGACCTTAAACTGATAGAATGTTTTAATTGTTTCAAGAGACGATAGGAAAATTCCTAAGTGTGGTATGAGCTGCGGAGAGGTGAAACTTCTTGAGCAGGCTGTGGTGGCACTGGTAGATAGAGTCCTGGATGGATGATAACTAATCTCATTGAAGTGCACTGGTCTTTTTCCATGCTGTCTAGACTGTGAGTCTGCTCTAACGTGTTAAGGAAAAGGCAGGGAGGAGTTCGGAAGTATACAGTGCCCTGAAGCAGTGTTTGATTCACTAATCTTTGGACTCACGATTCAAAATTCGATTACATACATAATATCGGAGGAGGTCAAGTTTGTGACTCACCAAGCTGGAAAGAAATACTCCTCTGTCTGCACCCTCAGCTGTCAGGTCTGCTCTGCTCATTTATCCTTGTGTCTGATTGACAGCTCTCCCCAAGAGCCCATAATTTAGTATATTCAGTCAAAATGTTCACATGTCTTCCTTGATATTTTCATCATATTCTTGCAAGTTTTTGGTTGTCGAAATGTTCTAAGAGACTTGATAGAGATCTTATTAAATAGAGGAGAGCAACTGTGGAAATTATTTTAACACTAATTGTATAAAGGCACAAAAGTACCACTGACTAAAGACACAAAAGTATGCACCTCCTAGGATGGAGGGGGTCTTTTAGGTGGATGTTCTTCTTTTTCAAAGTGAACTTCACAATCGCTGTTGCCAAACCAACAGAGAAGAAAATTTGTGTGTGCTCACCCATGCATGTATAGATAGAGAGTGAGAGAGAGAAAGGAACTTCATAACCTGAGGTAATAATTACGATTATGGTCAAAGTTGTCAATTCAGATTCTACTAGTCAAGAATAAGTAATTAATTCCACTAATACAGGGCCGAAGCTTACCTTAGTAGACACTTTCCCTCTGAATAGTGAAAATAAGATTTTAGGAGCAATACTTACCTCCTAAATATACTCGATCTTATGTTTGGTGTGCATGTGGAAACATATTTATAATTTATCTGATTTTTTTTAAACATAAGCCTTTGTTAACTCTCAGTTCTTGGACTTTTCCAAGGCTGCTGTTATTTAAGTGAACGCAGCCCTTGATGTGCAAACGTCCTAGTGCGAGCTGCCGCTTGGGGGCGCCCGAGGACACGAAGGTTCCTCCAGAGCCGGGGATCTTCCCCATGTCCTTGCAGGTGTGCTAGAGCAGCAATCCCCAACCTTTTTGGCACCAGGGACCAGTGCTCCTATAAGAATCTAATGCTTGGTGATCTGAAGTGGAGCTTCCAGTGCTCCTATAAGAATCTAATGCTTGGTGATCTAAAGTGGAGCTTAGGTAGTGATGCTAGCACCGGGGAGTGACTGCAAATACAAATGAAGATTCGGCTAGCACTGGGGAGTGGCTGCAAATACAAATGAAGATTCACTTGCCCGCCGGTCGCTCACCTCTTGCTGTGCGGCCGCTTCCTAACAAGCCACCAACAGGTACCGGTCTTCGGCCCCGGGGTTAGGGACCCCTGTGCTAAAGAACCTGTGAGGGGTCTCTCCGCCCTGCCGGAGACCTCACTCTTCTCTGTCCTCCCCATTGGTACATGGGATTTCTAGGTGAAAAGGCCCATAGCAATCATTTTACAGATGAGGAAACTGCTGCCCTGGGAAGGTGAGGGATTTATTCATGATTGCATTGATGGTGAGTGCCCAGCTGGGTCTGGAACCAAGGTCTCCCCAGGGTTTCGCCAACACCACCTCTTCCCGTGGGTCTGCCACAGTCTGAAGTGAGGCCCCAGAGCTGGGAAGAGGGAGAATCATTACCACGGTATCTCCTCCGTCTTCCTTTCCTCTCAGTTTTCTTTTCCCAGAGGAAGCACCTTAACCGCGGCTCCTCTTCATCCACTTACGGCCTGATCCCAGCTATGGGGCGCCACTGCTATGCCTGAAGCCCCTTCTTGGAGCTCCAACTGTATTTTTCCCCTTTGGAAACAATTTCAGTCATGGTTGCAAAGTGTTACTGGCTCAAGCACTGAAACATTACCTGTATCACTGATTCGGTGGGAATATTCTCTATTCTAAAACTGAACTTCCAAAGCTTCTAGAAAACAGCCTCCACCTAAATTGGTGAGTCTGGATTCTGTTGGAATTCTTTGGTTATTCAGGCAGGACTTTTATTCTTTACAAATCAGGAGATTTTGCTATACCTAGAGGACCTTCAAAGGCTTTTAAAGTTTAATACTGGTGAAAGGCATCCAGAGGCACTTACTGCAAAATACCCCTTCATTCCTGTTTCACATGACTTTACTAGTGTTAGTGACATAGGTGCTTGTGCTAAGTTTTGCCACAGAGTAAGTACTGTGCTTCCTAGGTATGAGCTGGGAGGACCGAAATACCAGTTTCTTAGATGGGAATTAGCCCCAGAGCTCAGCAACTTGTTTGCCATAGCAATGGAAAAGAATCATGTTCTCATTCACTTTTATAAAATGCATTTTGGTCACTCTGGAATTAAGACAGCCTCTCCACTTTTATCATAGAAAATTAGAAAAATCTAAGAAACCAAAAATATTTCTGTATCAATCTTAGTTTATGAATTTTAGGACAAAGAGTGTGTTCACCATACCCTCTTAGCCTGGTTATTTAGTTCAGATTTTTTTTAAAAAACATATTTATGGCTCTCATGCATGGATTTAGACAATTGAATTTATATGGCAGCTTGTTTTCTTCCTGATTCAAGCTGTAAATGCAAACCATTTATTACTCAGCCTGGCCGTGTATAGCCATAAAGCCCTGCTGCTTAACAGTAAACACAAAGGCATGGACCCCTACTACCAAGCAGACCACATTCAAAATGAAGTACTTTAATGGAAATATCAGTGCAGGGGAACAGGGAAGGGAGAGGTCAATTCTGAACAAGGAGATCTAGAGATTCCTGGGGAAAGTGGGATTGGAGATAGCCTTAAATGATGGATAGGGCTCTGGCTGTTGACGATGCTGAAGAGAAGGGAAGAACAGTGTAGCTGTCAATTTATGGGGCCAGAAGTGTGTGGATTGAGTTGCAGTGACATTGATCTATGAATTGTTTTGGTCCTTTAAAATAATTTCATATTTAGTAGAAGTTCTTTAAATCATTTTCTCTTCAATACATCTTACAAAAGAGAGAGAGATCTTTTAGCTTCTTACCCTTTTAGACTTTGTTAGATACTACCTGTTTTGTTATTCTTTAATCTTTAATGGAATGTACTCATATCTTGTAAAAGTGAGGGAGGCATGTAGTATAATGTGACGAACAGACCCAACTATGTGACCTTGTACAAGTTACTTAGTGTTTCTGAGTTTCAGTATCCATGTGCGTGTTAAAAAGATCCAAAACCTTCTTGAAAGGTTTATATCAAATGAAGTGATACGTGTAAAGGGCCCAGTACAGTTCCTGGTGCATAGTAGATTCAGTGAATGTTAAATAACCACACCAATAATGGCCATGATAGAATGTAATATACAGAATGTATTATATAAGCTCTATTATTACTACATTGACTATAGTCTACTGAGAATACAGAATGTGATATAGTAAATAGAATATAGTAGGATATAATAAGTAGACTATAGTAAATAATAGGGTCTTAATGGAAAAATCGTCTACATTTTAAGAAAGATATTTAACAAAATGGTTAAGAGCATGGACCCAGCAGTCAAACAGCTGTCTGGCTCAATGTCCAGCTGTGCGACTCTGAGCTGATCACCCAGTCTCACTTTACCTCAGTTGCCTTATCTGTAAAAACAGAGATGCTTACAGAGACACCCCGGGTTGCTGTGAGGACTCAAGCACATTTAAAGTGCCCCATAGCAAATGCCTACTCAGGAGTGGTTATGGACACTATTTTTGAAACAGAACACCACAACCAGAAAGCCATCCATCTTATTGAATGCAAATCATAATGTTCCATTTCTCTTCCTTCCTTCTTTCTTTTAGCCATAGGTTAGGAAATTGGAAAAGCAAATGCTTCTCCACAACAGAGACAGAGTGTGACCTCACTGATGAAATTGTGAAGGACGTGAAGCAGACATACTTGGCGCGAGTCCTTTCCCAGCTGGCAAATGCCACCAGTTCTGCTGCGGAGCCTGTGTTTACAAACTCCCCAGAGTTCACGCCTTACTTAGAGAGTAAGTAGTTTGGTTTGTAATAACCTTTCATTCTTGTTGTTAAAAGCTTCTGAATCTTCTTGTGAGCCTGTGACCCTTAGGGGCCATCAGATTATTTCTCCATAAACACATCTTTTTTCTCAGAATCGGTAAGCGCCACGGTCCTCTACTGTGGTGGGAAGTTCACAGAGTGTGAACTTCAGAGTTGATAACAAGATCATCAAGTAACTTTCCCCACCGTTCTGTCCCCAGACCTTACCAGTAACTGGCTGAGTAGGATGGCGGGGGAGCCAGAAATCCACCAAGGCTGGGGTTTCAGCATATTCCCATACCTATTTCTGAGATTATATTTACATATATACACACATATATATCCTGAACATTCTGTCACATCATCAGAGCAGAAGTCAAGTTTAAGATTTTTTCATAGTCACAAATCCACAGGGAAAGTTCAGTTTCCCTCTGAGCCCATAATTGGGCTTGCTGACCTTTTTTAATCAGTTGGCCTTGGAGTCCCATGATGTGCCAGCACTTGCCCAGCCAGCTCCCAGCCTGCCTCCTTCTTGCTGGCTTTGAAAGTGCGGAATGCCTTCCCCCCAAGCCTTTGCCCCAGTAAGCTGACTTTAGCATCTACTAATGGAATGCAGAGGATTGCTGACAAGTTGGAGCGTACCTTTTTTTCTCAGGACTATTGTTCTGAACTAGGTATTTTAAATAAACACGTATAGCACATTGAGAAGAGTGAAATCAGTTAAGGTCTTTAAATCTTCAAAGATCTTCTAGGAAGACCTCGAATGAAAGGTTAGAATGAAAATGTCATGTTATTGCTGCCTTTATATTGACCCCTCTATCCTGTGAGAGAGAACAGTTTCTCGAGGCAGCAATAGAGAAGGGACCGAGAGACAGTCGAGCAAACTTTCCCTTCTCATACCTACTTTGGGGGTCCAGAAAGGAAGCTGCCTTCCCCGAGCCCCTGTTTGCCAGACCCTGTCTTCAGACTCCTCTGGCACTTTCTACCTGTGTGTCCCTCACAGCACTCAGCTGGAGTGTAGGCACCACATCCACACCACCTCCGGTAACTCCGTGGGATTACTGATTGTCATTCACCTTCCATTGGTGGCATCCTCATGATTTTCTGTTATAGCCGTTGAGTTTTTTGTAAGCCACTTCAAATCCTTTTTTGCTGAAAGATAGAAAAAATTTTACACATTAATTTTGCAAGAACTCACACAAACATACACATACTTGCTTATAATTCATGTTTAATTATTGGGATTGATTTTACTGTCATTCGTTGAAAGCACACACAATAATTGAGCCATTCCAGAGTCCCAGAGGTTAAAACTGGTTCCTTGAAGTACCAAGGACATTTCTTGGGCTTTCCACATCCCCTAATTTCTTCTATATAAAATATGGAATCTTATGCAAATGTATTGTTTAATATAGTAGCTACTAACCACATGTGGTTATTGAACACTCGAAAAATAGCTAACGCTATAAGAGTAAAATACACACTGGATTTTGAAAAATATTTCCAAAAGTTTTTATATTGACTACATGTTAAAATGATAATATTTTAACTATTTAGGGTTAAATAAAATATATTATTGAAATTATTTTACCTGTTCCTTTTTACATTTTCTAAAATGTGACTACAGAGAAATTTAAAATGACATTTGTGGCTCCCATTCTATTTCCGTTGGGCAGCACGGCCATAGAATGTCTCGGGGTTTAGCTCTGGTGCCACTTAGCTAGCAACTGCCAGGGACTTGATTCTATGCAGATGTTTTATGAGGGGTGACCAGGTTGTTAGCTGTGATAACTAAATGGGATTCTGTTTTGTAGAGAATTCTTTGGTTCTAACGAAGCTCATTTTCTATGTTTCAGCAAACCTCGGACAACCAACAATTAAGAGTTTCGAACAAGTTGGAACAAAACTGAATGTGACCGTACATGATGCGCGTACTTTAGTCAGAAAGAATGGCACATTCCTCAGCCTCCGGGATGTTTTCGGCAAGGACTTAACTTATATACTTTATTATTGGAAAGCTTCAAGCACAGGAAAGGTGAGGATTCCTTCATTTGTTTTAATGACTTATTTTAAATGGTAGATTTTTGATTTTATAGCCCACTTCTTCCCTAATTTGAAAATGCCAGAATGGGGTGGTTGAGAGGGCAGCGTGCTGGATTGGGGAGGGATGCCTACTGTCCTGGTTCTATCTGTCACTTTGAGCAGCCTTGTGACCTTGGGCAGGGTCCCTTGGATACCCCTTCCCTCAGCCAACGGGCTGGACCAGATAATCTCTAAGGTTCCTGGCAGCTCCCACATTTAATCCTCTATTGAGGATCACAGAGACAATATTTGTTTTCCATTCAACCATTAATGCGTCATTCCTTTTTTCCCCCTTTACTGTAAATATCTTCTAAAGGGGTAATTTGGGTTGAATGTGCCTAAATTGATATCTTCAGTCTTGGGAAAAGTATCCTTAGCAGTTATCAGGGAAACCTGTTTGGCCGAGTCACTTCTAATCCTGTATGTCAGGTGTGTCCATGTTGGCTTTTACTTCCACAGTGACTTAGTAAAGAGAAAAGAATTCACTCTGAGACCAGATGAATTAAGAACTCTTTATCTTTTAACAGAAAACAGCCAAGACAAACACTAATGAGTTTTTGGTTGACGTGGATAAAGGGGAAAACTACTGTTTCAGCGTTCAAGCAGTGATTCCATCACGAAATGCTAACCAGAAGAGTCCCGAAAGTCCCATTAAGTGCACTACCCACGAGAGAGGTGTATTCAGAGGTAAGTGGCTCTGCCGGGCAGACACGGATGCTCAGATGCCTTCCAGAGGACTAGCACCACCCTCAGAACCAGAATGTGCTTTTGTTCAGAGGGAAACTGTCTTGGTTTTTCTTGTTCTTGTGGGTGTTTTTGGTACTCTTACGATTTCAGGCATTTAGAAATGTCTCTGTGTTTTCCCTTATATTAGCAAGTGTTTTCTTGAACACCTACCATGTGCTAAGCACTCTGTTGAGCACCGGGCACACAATCCGTGCTTAGGATTTAGCATCAATCACAGATTTCTCTGGGCATGTTTTCATATCTAAATTCTGATCTCGAGGGTTTGGGGGGAGCTTCTGGTCCAGTGGCAGCAGCACCCGATAGACATTTGTGAGCACCTACAATGGGCTGTTGCCACAGAAGAGATCAAGTCTAACCTGTGAAGGGAAGGGATTAAGTCTACCATATATACCCATGTGCGTGTACGTCCACACATGTGCGCACACCAGGCCCCAGACACTGTGTAAGCAAGATGGTTGCCAACTAGAAGCGCTACAGGTGTTCAGACATGTACATGAGGCTGCAAGCCGATGAGTCTGTCTCTAGCCTTTGACTTTGTATTTTCAGGGATTAAAAGAGTCAGAGGGTAGTAATGATGACCTAGCTCCTTGCTAAGAGGAAATTTAAAAATTTGAAAACACTTTAAAATAAATTCTCCCACATTTATTGACGTTGACAGGAGAAAAGGACTCTACTTTTCTTTTTGTGCTGATAGTTTATCACTGACACCAAACTCAGCCTTATTTTTAGCCATTGGTTTCTAACAGCTGCACTTGCTTCCATCTATGTGTGTCTTTTCTAGACTTCAAATATTATCCAGTTTACTAAATGACCCGTTTAATGTTTTTTGTCATTGTCAATTGCCCTAAAACATCTAGGGGTTGACAAAGTGTTTCCTAATCAAAATGTATTGTGGTGGAGGAAGTGAAGGAAAGAAAATTTAAGTTATGCAAAAGCACGATGGCGTAATCTGGGGTTGAGCCCTCGGTTCTGCCCACTGATAGATGGGATTCGAGCTCTCTCTCTAAGCTGATGTGGTACATTTTACTTTTCAGATATGTTCTTCATCATCGGGGTAGTGGTGTTCCTGGTCATCATCTTCATCATCGTCCTGTCTTTGTCTCTGTACAAGTGCAAGAAGACCAGAGCAAGGCGGAGCAGAAAGGAGACCTCCCCCCTCAATGTTGCATAAAGCATGCACCGTTGGAGCTGCCAGCTGCTGCAGAGTTTATATTGCACTGTGACCAATAACTTTTAAGAGAATAGACTATATGGAAACACAAATGAGTACTTTGAAGCATGAAGACCAGTGGGCTCAAAAAAAGTTCATTATCTGACCTGTTCTCACGATTAGCCCTCCAGTTTCGATATCAGCATTAGTCATTTTGGAATGTAATGAGTGGTACGACCAATTTTAAGTTGTTTTTTTTTTATTTCTTTTTTAACACTATGGCATCTCTTGCACATAGACTGTATGTTCTATACTCAAGGTGAAACCAGGTCCTCCAAGCAAAAACAAATCAACAAATGCCTTAAGAAATCCTGGGTGGACTTTTGGAGGACTTTCAAGAGGCTGACTTCAAATCCTGTGGGAGAGTAAAATGGAAATTGGGTGGACTTTCTAACATATGTCTATCTTTTTGTAATATGGTGTTTTGGCTCTGCTTTTTTTTTAAGAGTTCTTTTGGAGGTTCAAAACAATTGGCAGACTTTCCTATGAATGTGTTAAATGCAGAAGACCTCTATTTTGGGCATGTTCCTAACATGCATCATAATTAAGCACTTTAACTGACTTAAATGCTGTTGATTAAACACTTGACAGCTAAGTATATTTTTATAAGACTACTATACAAACATACTACATAGAGTTTATGACTTAAGGTACTTCAAGCTTATGTTGTCAACATTGTACATATACATATAATTTTTAAAAAGTTTTATACATGGGGATTTTCTATTTATAGAGGTAATATTGTTCTGTTTGTATATATTGAGATAATTTATTTAATATACTTTTCTATAAATAAAGGTGACTGGGAATTGTGACTATTGCATTTATTATATCTCCCATTTGTTACTTATTTGATCTTTGTATTAGTTGGCTTGGCTATAGTAACAAAGGACCCTAAAATGCTTACTCGGTTATGATAATATTATCTTTATTTCTCACTTACATTACAGCTTTGTGGCTATGGGTTGATTGCAGCTCTTCCCAATGTCTTCTCATTGTAGGACCCAAACCCAAAGTGAAGGCTGTTTGGATTAGGGCAGAGGGAAAAGCAGAAAACTGGTAGAAACAGGCAGCCATGTCCTCAAGCTTTAAGCTGCCTCTTAAAACTTCTGCTCCATACTGGCTCACTGTCATTTCTGCTCCCATGCCACTGGCCCAAGCAAGACACATGACCAAGCCTGACGATACTCTGCCTACAGGGAAGCAGCACAAGTCACACAGCAATAGGCAGGAACGTATAACGTTACAGGGAAGAAAGAAATTGTACAATCTACTAAAGATTTAAAGGGAGAGATTTCTTCCCATGGGCATTAGTTTGTGTTGCAGGTGAAGATTCGAGAGGTGAAAAGAAGAAAAATTCTTTGGATTATTGTCTTAAAAGAAAATTGGATAAAAGGACAATACAAGCTAGGGTCAGAGAGAAGTAGATTGGAGTTTCTAGAGTAAATTAAAAGTAAACTAAATTGAGAGTTCTTTGCAGGCAGGACTGGGTCCAGCTCCTGTTTACTGCTCCCTTGGGGTGGCTGTGCCAATGGGCTTTTAGTCATGGTGGAGTCAAGATGACTTCATAACCTCCCTCTAGAATGGAGAAACAGTAGTCCTCCATTCAAATAAAATATAGCAGAACAGTCTTTTTCTCTCAACTTTTTTGAAAAGGGATTCTAATTAGAGGTGAAAAATGAGGTTCTTGGCACCTAGTTGAGGCAAACCCCTATTTGCTTTCTGCCGTAGAAGGCTGGGCCAGTACAGTCTAGGAAAAGCATCCAGATGGCACACCTGCCTGGATGTAGTCCCACAAGGAGACACTGAGCAAGCATACAAATGAAGACTTGGTTCACTGTCCAGCCATTCATAAATTTTAAGTCCATTTTGTTCTTTTGCTCAAAAGAACTCTGAACATTGGAAACAAAACTCTCAACATGAAATGTTTGATATAACATCATGTTCTAAGGAAGAATGGGCAAAACAAACCTTCAATGTTCCCATAAAAATGGTAGTTTGAAAAAAAGAAATGGTAAAAATTTTGTAGAAATGAAGGGAAGCAGACCAGTGGTTAGTCGATGGGGCTGGTTTCGTTGGCTGGTTTTCCATGGTCAATCTGTGTCGATCGATGCTGGGGAAGAAGAATCATACACTGCTGCAGTGGTCGTTATGCCAGGAAAAGGTGGAGGTTCGTTTGCAGCAGAGTCAACAAGACAAAAGTTGGCCTGGGACGTGTCCTAAAAGTGTGCGTGGGCCATTATCTTAAATTCCCGCTCACATGAGGCCTCCCAGACAAGGAGCTTAGCGCAATGCACGAGGGTCAGACGAACTCCCAGAGAGGGCATCTGGCTGGGCGTTTCCATCAGCCTGCGCTTTCTCTGCCAGGAATCACTACAGTGTTATGTAATTCCGTGGCCTCATAACCTAAGAAATTTGAATGGTTCCACTAGAGAAAGTACTGGCAAAATGAAAGCAGATCTGGGTAGTAATGAGGTGTCTGGCTGTTCACAGGGAAGGAATCCATTACAGATCCGAGTGAGGCCACCCTGCACTGCTCGGGAAGCTTCCAGTTCTAACCCTGCCTCAGATTGCCTCACTTCTCCAATCGCTGGAACAAAACAGCTACTGCTAAAATCAGCATCGTCAAGAGCACAGGAGCAGAAAAACATACTATCAATTGTTGGCTGGTGTCCAGAAACTACCACCCTCCCATGAGCCAAATTATTCTGTATTACCTATCTCAGCCCTAAAGGAGCCCACAAATTTGTTGGTCAGCTAAATTTCGTACTTTGAAGAGAGATTTTTACCATCTTAAATTATTGACCAAGTTTGACTTACATATAAGAAACTAGTACTTGTGGAATCCTTAGTTTTTTACCTTACCTTAGTTAGAGCTGATGGCCTATAATCTAAGTATCTGTCTCTTGAATAAACAAAGAAACAATTATCCCTATCCATCAGATAGTACATAAACTCATTCCCAAACGCAATTTTTACTTATTCTAGGACATGTATACTTAGCCATGTGTTATTTTTCTTCAGTGAAGGTTTATTACTAATACAATGTGACCTTCGTTCAGAGATACACTGTGAAGATTAGTTCTTCCTTCTCATAGCCCCTGCTTTTCCGCTGGGGAGTTAAGTGATTCAGGCTTTGCCATTCAGCACATATCTTCCTCATGGCTGTGGAAATTAGTTTAGGGGTTGGCATGTGACGTAACCTAGCCTAGGAAGGGTGAATCTCAGGGCCTTTTCTGGGAGTGCTAGGATACTCTCTTGATGAATATAATGAAGAAACATGTAGCCCCAAAGGCTGCTGGCAGTTATCTTGAGACCATAAAAGAGCAACCTTAACTGGAGCTGACCTGTTGGAGAGCAAGGCAGAGCGATGGAAACTAAGTCACCAAACTACTGGATCAAGCCTTGCCTGAAGTTATCCCTACTCATGGACTTTTCGCACAATATAAGCCAGTTAATTTTGTAAGCAAGCTTGATTCGGGTTTTCTTGACTTTTTTGACTTGCAGTCAAAAAGCACCCTAACTGATGCTATGCAAGCATTGACCATGGAATATAAACATAGACAAAGAAGGTGCCTATAATGTAAGTTTATTCCATAAAGAGCTTATAATGTAAAATAACATTCCCTTCTCAACAACTAAAAGACTTTGCCCTGAATTTATCCCTTCTTGCCAGCACTATCAGGTTCTCCTTTTCTATTTGATCATTCCTATCAGGACACAAACATACTGTATTATTTTCTCTCTTAAGAAAAAATAGTCTTCATTGGACCTTTTAAAAGCCCTTATCTGGATTTCCTCCTTGCTCCCTATTCCTTGGACACCATCCTCTTCTTTCTCACTTCTAAGTGTTGGATTACCTCAGTGCTCCAACTTATTCTCTATCAATAATCACTCTCTAGGTGACATATGTAAGCCCATGGCTCTATCATCTTGCTCTGGCAGCATAAGGACCAAAAGGCTGCTGAGCAGAGCCAGTCTGCGCACTAGAGCCACTTGCCCAGCCCTTCACCTTTGAGCCCTCACTCCGTACTCCTGAGCTGTGGGCCCTCACACCTTTGTAGTGGTTTAAATAGCAGTACATAGCCTATGTACACAGAAACTGTAACGTTCTTCATTTTTCTAAGACTGGATTTAATTTTCAATTTAGGCTCCCTTTCCACCAGATGGTAGCGATCCCAAGCGATTTGGTGATTCTCCCCAACATCCACATTTTCCCTGGAGTTGTGCCAAGTCCACCCTGCCCTCTTCCATTGTTCCCATTCTCTAGGTCCCTCCATCCCCTTCTAACTAGCCTCTCGCACCAACTTGGGAAATCCTGTTCTACTCAGAGGGTTGTGGGCTGGGGTGGGGAAGCATTGCTCTTACCTGTTTCCATGTTCTCTTTTAAGTCTATTGTCTGTGCACTAGTCCTGTTCAGACTGTCCTGAACAAGAGTAAACTCCACTTTTCTTTGCTTTCAGCTACTATATTCCTTCGGAGATCATGGTCACAGAACTGCGGACTAACTGAATGGGGAGAAGAGTCAAGGGTAAAAAGAACACACCGGGGAAAAAGCATAGATTGATATTTCAGAGGACATCATTCCCCTATTCCAACTAAACAAAAGATTTAAAAATCACTCACATTCAAGTGTCAATGGCTCATAATAATGTTTCACCAAGAGTCATACTCTTAGAATAAAAAGAATGAGAGAGTAATGGTGGAATTTTACCCATCAGTTGTTGTGAGGGGGGTTGGCAGGAAAGCAGAAGAGGAGTCTTCTCTTTCCTAAATCTGGCCACTCTGTAGGACAGTCCCCACGCCTTCTGGACATCCCCCACTTACCCCGCTTATACTTGCTCCATGCCTAGGTTCCCATTTGTCCACATTTTTAATATCCTCTTATTTTCCCCCTAGAACAGCTAAGCCATGCTATTTCCTTTTAAAGAGAAGCTCTCTGCATGGTGGCAAAGATGAAATCCTGTGCACATATCTGATTCCCTGAAGAAATTTTGTTCATTTTTCTGTATACTTCCAAATCATTGCTTTGTTCCAGTGTTAGCTTAATCTAATGGTTCTCAAAGTGTGGTCCCCATTAACACCATCTTAGAGCTTCTTAGGAAAGCACATTCATAACCCTGACCTCAGACTTACTGAATTAGCAATCAGTGTGGTTTTTTTCCAGTTGTTTTTTTTTTTTGAGACATAATTGACATACATTACTGTATAATTGACATACATCACTGTATAAGTTTAAAGTGTGCAGCATGATGGTTTGATTTACATATAGTGTGAAGCGATTCCCACAATAGGTTTAGTTAACATCCATCATCTCATATAGACACAATAAAAAGAAGAGAAAAAAAATTCTCCTTTGATGAGAACTCTTATTAGGATCTTCTCTTTTAACATCTTTCCTACATATCACACAGCAGTGTTAACTTTGTCATCAGGTTGTATGCTACATCCCCAGTGCTTGTTTATCTTATAACTGGAAGTTTGTGCCTTTTGACCGCCTTCCTCCAATTCTCCTTCCCCTACCTCCTACCTCTGGTAACCACAAATCTGACCTCTTTTTCTATGAGCTTGCTATGGGTTTTTTGTTTGTTTGTTTGTTTGTTTACTTTTAGATTCTCTATATAAGTAAGATCATATAGTATTTGCCTTTTTCTGTCTGACTTATTTCACTTAGCATAATGCCTTCAAGCTCTATCCTTTCTTGCAAATAGTAAGATTTCCTCATTTTTTACAGCTAAATAATGTCCCATTGTATATATATGGATATATCTCACAACTTTATCTGTTCATCTATCCATAGACTCTTAGGTTGCTTC